CGGCGCTCCCTCAGCACTGACCCTCCGACAGTGCGGCGCTCCCTCAGTACTGACCCTCCGACAGTGCGGCGCTCTCTCAGCACTGATGCAATAGACTGATTGAAATTCTCAGCTCTGTCTTCCTGCTCCAGACACAGATTTCCACTTTGGTCTGTAATGTGTCTGACTCTTTACCTGATAATTCTCTTGTTGTTTAATTTGTTTCCTTGCTTTGAATTTACCTTCCCCTCTGACAGAAATTTGCGCACCTTAATCTTAAAAATGATCAGTGCCTGGCCTGTACCTCCTTCTGGGAAGAGTGTTCCAGAACTGCATCATTGCAGAGACAGGAACATCTCCTCATCTTTCTTGTGGAACCCCTCCCTCAGTTTGTCAATATGCTGCACAACCACCAGGTGCGATATCCCTTTCTCCAGGATCTGCTTGATTCTTTTTCACATTAACCTGTTCAGAGATGTTGGAGCAGGTGGGATTTGGTCTGTGGTCTCCTCACTCAGAGATAGTGGCATTACCACTACGTCAAAGTGGCCCTTTAAGCAACTTCAATAAAATCACCCCGCATTCTCTGACCTCCAGTGGAAAGTGTCCCATTGTGTTCGTGTTCTGCTCTGGGATGCAACCGGAAGATTTGGTCCAATGTGGACTCACAGAAGGTGCCACCCCAAAGGTTAATATAGAACATCAGATTATATGCTGTAGTGATTATGATGTGGTCAGCTGGGTGAACCTAATGGAATATGAGTTCCCTGATTGGGGCTGTTAACCTGGTCCAATCAGGGAGCCCTGGCTGACAGACAGAAACAGGAGTGTCAGGGGTTATGCTCACTCTGAGAGCTGGCTCTGAGGGAGCTGGGTCAGTGTTAGGGATCTCCCTGTGTAAATAAAGGGTGACCTGGTGACAGGATCCTGGTCCCTGTGGAGTTATTTCACATGGGAATAGGGGTAATTTATTAGTGTGGAGAGAGGATTAGCCGAGCTACAGAAAGCAGGTCTTTTTCTGGATGACAAGATGTAACTAGTGGGTGCCACAGGGTTTGGTCTTCGGCCCCCAACTATTTACGTTCGATATTAATGACATGAATGCAGGGATAGAAGGCACTGTCGCCAAATTTGCAGATAACACTGAAATATGCGGGAAAGTAACTTACAGAAATTCCCCACTGGTTAAGGGTGAGTTTTTGTGAATGAACCAAGACTCACTCCCCTGGAGTGTGCTGGATGCTGGGACATTGAGTAAATTTAAAGAGGAGACAGACAGATTTTTATTGGTGTACAAGGAAGTGGAGTTGAGGCCGAGACGGACAGAACATGATCCCTTCTTTTGTCATAAGACTATCCATTAAATAAAGCTCCACAGTATATTTAAAATCTAGAAAACATTACTCATCAAATCATAGGGTCCGTACAGTGTGGAAACAGGTCATTTGGCTCAGCGAGTCCATGCTGACCCTTCAAACAACATCCCACCCAGACCCATCCCTCTATGCTATCCCTGTAACCGTGCAATTCCCATGGTGAACCTGTATATCCTGGACACTATGGGCAATTTCCCATGGCCAATCCATCTAACCTGCAGATCTTTGATTGATTAATCAAAAGTGAGTTTTCAATAAAATGATCTGTTATAATGTGGCTATTCCTACACCTCACTGAGACTAATGAGGAATCATTGGTTAATTTATTTGGTGCCCACTAGTCATAGAAATAGCAGAAAGCCATTCAGCCCTTTGGGCCTGGTGCTGAGGAGACCACACCCGGAGTTCTGTCAGCAGTTTTGGTTACCTTATTGAAGAAAAGATATCATTTCATTGGAGGCAGTTCAGAGAAAGTTAGCTAGGATGATCCCTGGTATTAAGGATTGTCTTTTGAGCAAAGGTTAAACAGGGTAGGACTCTACACACTGGAGTTTAGAAGAATGAGAAGTGATCTCATTGAGCCATATAGAAGTTTTAAGGGACTTAGCAGGGTAAATGCTAAGAGGATTTTTCCCCTTGTGGGAGAGTCTAGGACAAGAGGGCATAGTCTCAGAATAAAGGGATGCCAATTTAAGACTGATATGAGGAGGAAATTCTTCTCTCAGAGGCTTCTGAGTCTTTGGAACGCCTTGCCACAGAGAGCTGTGCATGCAGAGTCCTTGTGTATATTTAAGGCTGTAATAGATAAATTTTTGCTCAGTTAGACAAATCATGGTGTTATAGGGAAAGGTCTGGAAGGTGGACGTGAGGAATATCAGATCAGCCATGATCCTGTTGAACAGATGAAAGCTCGAGGGGCCAAATGGCCTACTCCTGTTCTTATTTCTTATGTTTCTTTTAAAAGTTCTGATGTCCAAATTATCCCAGTGTTGATTTTTGTTGAGTACTTCTTCCCAAGTTCTGCTCTCTCATTCCCACTCTCTGCTCTCTGGCTTGAAGTTAGCAAGCAATCCATTCTCATCCTTAACCCCTGACTGTCCCAGCTCATACCTCAATCATTTGTCTATTCTGAAGTAACTACTGAAGGCCTTTTAAACACCTAAAATTAAAGATTACAAAAATAAAATTAACCATTATATTTGGCTTTACCAATTCATGATGTTTCAGACCCTTGTCCTCTTCCCCCGAAAACTGTGGATGCTGGTCACTGATAGATTCGTGACTCGATTGGACAGATCTTTGACCAATGAGGGGCTCAAAAGTTTTGGGAGATAGACAGATCAGCCATGATCTTATTGAGTGGAAAAGCATGTTTGAGGGGCCAAATGGACAACTTCAGTTTCTAGTCTTTTGTTTATTCAGGAAACACACCTCCCAAGCCTGGATTTTGTCCAAATCTTATTGCATGTGAACATGGACTGCTTCAGTATCTGAGGAGTGACGAATGGTGCTGAACATTGTACAATTATCGGCGAACATCCCCACTTCTGACTTCTGATGGAGGGAGGGTCATTGATGGAGCAGCTGAAGATGGTTGGGCCGAGGGCACTACCCTGAGGGCCTGCTGTAGAGATGTCCTGGAGCTGAGATGATTGACCTCCAACAACCACAGCCCTCTTTCAATGTCCAGACCCAAAGCTGTGAGTCAGTCAGCAGTTTATTGATTTTCCAGCAACAGGGTCAGAATGGGAAGCTGCTGATGTAGATGGTGTGTGTTTAGTGAGTAATGTAGGTACACTCCTGAAGTTTATTCATAATTCAACATAGAAATCATTCTTTCTTATTCTAACAACAACAGTCCCTATTTTGTTTATATCAAGGATTATAAACACATTAATTCTCAAACTACACAATCACTTTTAACAGCAATAAGTGGAGCACTCTGATCATTTTCAGAAAGGAGGCGAGCTGTCCCTTTAAGAGAAGGAGAGATCCTGTCCCTTTAAGTCCAAACCTAATTCTTTAAGATGAGATGACATGGTTCAATGTGAATGCAAGTGATATTTGTGGTGACCTGGCACTGAGGTCCTGAGGAGACAGCATGGAAGAGGTTGACACAGAGACTGGTGTTTGTGAATAAAAGTGTTTGGAACTGCATTGAGATGTGGCAGTGACAGATTCAGGTGACAACAGGAATGTACCTGCAGCAGGGCCCACAGGGAATGAACAACACGGGGCTGTGCTGACAGGTGTAGGTCACCCCGGGATCACAGCTCTATCTACACCCTTCACCCCAGGGCATTTCACAGAGTCAGAGCAGGAGCTAAACCAAGGCAGGGCAATAACTGTAGGGGGAGGGGTTTGCTGGAGGTGAAAGAGGGGCCACATCAGACTCCCAAAGGAGAGAGAGAGAGAATTGATGGTGACAACAGGGCCTTGGAGAGGGACTGGGGCAGAACAGGAGCTGGATGAGGGAGTTTGATAAATTTTGAGAGACTAGGGAAACAGAGACAGTTCTCTGTGGATCAGAGCAAGGTGCTGGGGAGATTTCTGAAGAGCTTTGATTATGTTAATGAGAAGAAACTATTTAGGAATCAGCCAGAACATAGAAACATAGAAATCTTTAGATTAGAAAGGAGACCTTTTGGCCCCATTGGGATAGAAGGATGGTCTAAAGCCTAGTGTAGGTATTGCAGATGATGATTGTTGATCATTCCGATCTCCCACTCAGAGACTTTAGTCAGCTAAGTAACTGCCATTATAGGTGAAGGAGCTTTCTGATAGGCAAAGGTCAGGGGAAGTCAGCGTCCATCTCTGAATCTTCACCTTGGACTGACCATCCGGCCTCACAATCACTGTGCTCCGCGACACAACAGAAGGGTCTTCCTGGAAGAAGTTGAATGGACGCAGGAGGAATCCGACGGCATTGCCAGGAGTACTGGTGTTGGGTATATCTTCTGAATGTGGAATGTGTAGAAAACCAACAGTTACCCAGGCAACAAGGTCCTGAAACAGGCAGAGACACACTGTCATCAGTAACCAACAATTAAAAGGCTCACTGGTTGGAAACTGACCTCCATGAGGAAGATGTACACAAGGATTGGTCACTTTCAGCAGTGCCCTGTCCCCTCTCAGCCCTGATCCCCTGTGATTATCAGACTATCCTAGCCCACCCTGATCCCCTGTCATTATCAGACTATCCTAGCCCAGCTCTGATCGCCTGTCATT